AAAAAAATTCCCCTTATTCAAATAATCCCTGGTTGGATTCATGCATCTAATTAGATTATTTCTCTTTTGCTTTTTAATATTAAACTTCTTTTCTATCTGAATTTCTATGATATTATCTTTATTTACATTTGAACTAATATCCTTACCTTTGTTGTTATTATCACAACCTCTTTTATATCGATTAATCTTCAATTTTTGGTTATTATGCTAGATGTACAAGTTTCGGTGCATTTTGTAATTTAAAGAACTAGCATCAGTTTGTAGGAAAGAATTTTGGGATCAGCTTTTGTTTCTGTGTAAGAATCCATACTCAAGTGGATTTGTTAGGTGCATGAAAAAGTTTGCACTAAAAAACTGTTTTTTCTATTGCGTATTTGAACTTGAGTTTTCAATAGAAAGAGTCTTGGGAACTTTGCTATATACCAAATATATATCATTGCATTGGCAAATTGTTTTGTTTGATCTTGTTTTGAATATTAAAGAGTAAATAAATTAATTTGCATTTTTTTTAAATAAATAGAAAATGAACTAATAATTTATACAAATAAATTTAACTTTGGTGGGCTTTTAACAACATCAAGGCTGGCTCTGTTAAATCTTGTCACAGAATGTTTAAAACATCTGGCTTCGTTTTGGTGGTTTCTTTTTCAAAAAAATTGTGTTAGTAACATTCTAATTTTCTTAATTAGTTTTTAATACAATTTTAACATCTTTTTTATTAAAAATAATTTTTATACTAATACATAACATGCAAATTTGAGTATAAAGTGATGTGCTTTTAGAGTAAGTTTGTTTCTTTTTACTGCTGATGACACTGGATAATCCTGTCAATGGCAGTGCGGACATTCTTGCTAATGACAGTGGATACTCCTGCTGATAATATTCTTTGTTTATTCCGATATTAAGTTTAACTGTCTGAAATATGAATGTGATTATGCCCACATATCAGATAAGATTATTATTATTATTAACAAAACTTATTTAATATCTACTGTATTTTCTTTTGTTTCCATGTAGAGATCCAAATACGATATTTCGAGGAAACACTCTAGTCACTAAAGTAATTGATGAGTTAATGAAACTAGTCGGCCTTCCATATTTACAGGACACCATCAAATCTATAATTGATGAGGTAAGTATAGCAATATATATCACAATCATACAATTTTCATACATCTCATATTTATTTATTGATTGATTTTTTTTTTTTTTTTTTCTTTTAAATTTTTTTTTTTACAGCTTATCAACCCTTTGGGGATTATTTAAAGCTGAAACATTTTGGATTGTAAGAAGAATTATTTCTTTTTTCACATAAATATTGCATTAACTTTTTTTTTCAGAATAACAATTTTTCTTAAGTCTTATTTAACCCATGTCTGGGGGGAGAGAAGATGGAGTCATACCTTCCCAAAGTTATTTGTATGTAAGTGAATGTAATGAGCCTGACTGGAATTTGAACTCAGCTCTCTGATTTCTCAGTCTGAACCACTATCCATTACATCACCTGCACATCCTCATCTCATCTATATAATAAATGCCAATGTCAGTGTGTCACCCTTTTTTCAATTAAAGGGACACAACTCTATATAGCTCATTTCCTTCTATATAATAAATGCCAATGTCACTGTGTCACACTTTTCCCACTTTACTCCTAGAGGCTGTAACCTAATATATCATACCATTTTGGAATCAGGCTGACTCCATGAGCAAATTAAAAACATTCTGGGTTGGATGCGGACCTGCAATCCTGAAATTTTGGATTCCCAAGTTTTCATTACTGTGATTTTTTTCTATTTTTTTTTTTTTTTAAATTTTTATTACATGTAATATTGGTACAAATTTTTTTGTATGATAATTTTTATAACTTGGGAATAATCGAAATTAATTGCGAAATCCAGTGAAAGTGAACCATGAAATAAAAATAATTGTTTGTACGGAAAATATGGCCCTATGTACATCAAATTGTCTTTAAATTATCTAAAAATAAAAAAAAAAATACAAACAATAATTAAAATGGTCCTAATATATGGGGAAACAAATAAAAAGCAGGTATCAGTTTAAACTGACTTCAGGAATACATGAGTTAATGGGAATGATTAATAGTAGCAGTAAAGCATAAAATAAAATTTAAAAGTTATAGAAGCACTTTTGCTTTGAATGTTGAGCTTCCTTATGTAAAGAGGAGAAAATGATGTCTTAGTAAAACTTGAATGAAAAGAGAAAATAATTTGTTGTCTTCAGACTTAAGGCAGCTTCAAAGTGTGGTCATTTTTTTTAACTTTATAGGCTAGTTACTTGATTGTGCAATAAAATAATAATTATTAATAATAATAATACTTATAATTATAATAGCAATAGTAGTATTAGTGGTAGTACTAATAAAACTAAATTAATATATGGAAAATAAATTTTTTTTTTTTTTTTTTTTTTTTGATAAATGGAAAAAAGTGTGAACAGGTCATGAATAGAATTAAGAGTGAAATAGTATCAGGGTAAGAACCACCATTTCTTGTCCCTCCCTCCCCTGGGCCATGTTCTACATCTGAAATGTTTTTATTGTTTTTGTTAGAAATCAGTTATTTATTAAAGGGTTGTGATCTGGCTTTTATAGTCTGTTTACTTTTTATTGATATTTGAAAACAATTTTTTTCTTTCAGATTTGTACAGATCATCATTCTTGTGAAATTGATCCCTCAAAATTGAAAGATGCAGAAAATGTCAACACAAATATGGTAGGTTATTCTGTTTTCAAATCATTATTTCAAGCATTTTGTTGGATGGTAGTATCTGCCATGATAGAGGCATTTATCCAAACATTTAGGATAACAAAGATGGTTAGGGAGAAGTTGGAAGAATGTAAATGAAGTTAGAAAGAGAACAGGCTTAACAGTGTAGAAATGTATTACATGCATTCTCTCTGACTCTGAAAAGGAAAGCTAGTGGCTGACACACTGTTTTACCCACAACATCATGTGGTAAGTCAGTAAAGTGCAGCCTTTACAGAGAATGGTTTTTGGGATAGATGCTGTAAAGCAAAGATGCTTTCTTGTCATGTGGGTAAACATGTCAGGAAAGCCACTTCATGGCATCTTAAAACTTAAATTGTTTCAATCAAAAGCCATCCTGGGTATGACGATAAACTACATCCACATCCTGGGTAAGACAATAAACTACGTTCAACAGCAAGGCCTCTAATCAGGAGATTTTGAGGAGTGTGAAACCACCTCTTAATTGCTGGTGTTCCCAGGTCTACCCTGACCCAGAGTGGTAGCACCTGTTAGGGTCCCAACTATGGGTAAATAGTTAGCCTCCAAACTGGGGTCAAAACACTATGTAAGTGTAAAAATAGGTTTTAATGCCAGAAATACTTTGTAAAAAATATTTATTACCAGCAATACATTCTTTTTTTGAAAAAAAAAAAAAAAAAAAAAAAAAAGGTATTACCAGCTATACATTTTTAAAGAAAAAATATTACCAGAAATAAAAATTGTCGACATTAAATAACCCATTGAGGTTGATATCCCGTAAAACAAACCAGAAATACATTTTTTGAAAAAAAATAAATAAATATTACCAGCTATACATTTTTTGAAAAAAAAAAAAAAAATATTACCAGCTATACATTTTTTGAAAAAAAATTACCAGCAATATATTTTTACCAGCATTAAATAACCCATTGAGGTTGATATGCTGTAAAACAAAACAAACCAAACCAAACCCAATCAGAAGCAGCCCTGGCTTCTCAATCAATGAATGTGGAATGTTTTCTCATAAGGCAATGGCTAATATTACCATTACTCAAAGTTTTTTGGAATTTGAACATTGTTGTACATAAACAGGATGTAGTATGGGCATTTGTGATTCTTTATCCTTTGTGACATACAGAAATATAATTGGGGAACAGAGTTCAAATTTTGGTTGATTCTGTTTCATTCTCTTTACATTAATACCTTTGGAAAAGGTATGAATCTATTTTTCTCCAGCTATGAGTTGAATAGAAGGGCAGACTGGTCTTTCTTACCTTTGATGGCAACCAGTCTAGGAGAACGAAAATTCTAATTCAAAACCAATCTGATGGGTTCCATCAGGTTATCTTGCCCTAAGTACATCCTTACTACTATGACTGCAGTACATGTGATGCTTCTACAACCTTGTTCTGATGTTTCTATGAAAAATAGTAAAAACTTAGTGTTAGGGTAAAAAAAAAAAAATTCTTTTTCTTCATAAATTCTCTTAACTTTTGGGAAACATTGTGTGTGTGTGTATATATATATATATATATATATATATATATACACACATACATACTTACTATTTCTAGTTTTCACTCTTGTGTGGTCATCTGTGATGTCATGGGCCACTGTGCGATATTCACTTCCAGTGGCTTGCATGCACAAGTTTGTCATTGCTTGGAAATCTTCCATGCAAACAAAACAGACTATCATTGTTGCTATGTCCATGTATTGTTTAATTTATTGCAATGTACTTGTCATCTCTGATGATGGCTTATGTAAGCTGAAAGCTTAGATAGGATTAAAAAACATGTATCAATTTGGTGATTTTCTTTCATCTTTCAATGATGATTTTATTAAGCTTATCAGATGATATGAAAGGAATTTGCTTAAAATAAAAACAAAACTTGTCTATATTATTTAAGGAAACATGCATTAATATATATATATATATATATATATATATATATATATATAGGTGTGTGGTTGAGTGGTTGAAACATTTGCTTTCTGACCATGAAACCTGGGTTCGATTCTCACCATAGTTGATTTGTCAGGAAGACAACTTCCTGATATTATTGGAACTGGATCAAGGTTGATCCCAGCATGCAGCACCTTTGGAAAGTGCCTGAAAACCATACCATGGGCTGACCCAAGCCTTGTGAGTGAAATTAGGCAGACAGAACTCTTGTGGATTGTCGATAGCTGTACTAGCATGAAGCCACATGCCATCGTGGCTGAGGGCCTGAGCATGCTAGTCTTGTTCAAATTGTTGATCACATTAGATAACAAGCTCTCTCCCAGAAACTGTAAGGTTTTCTCAACATATTTACAGTATAAACCACAGGTGGGCACTGTGGATGTTGAGCAAACACAAAAATGTGCCTCAGTGAGCATCTGCAATAGGGATTAGCTAGCTGCCCTAGTAGACAGGTATCCTCAAATATGAGTGGCCAGCTATTATATATATATATAATCAGCCTGTGAAGATCCTTTGTTGGATGTAGACCTTCTCCAGAACTAACCATCTTTGCTGTTCATGTATTTGTCTTGACCCTCGAGGTTGAAATCTTTCTAAGTCGTTACACCATCTTGTTTTCTGTCATCATCTACTTCTCATGTGAATGCAAAATGTGATTTTTGTTGTCGACCTGTCTGTTCTTGTGAGGTGGCCTGCCCATTTACATTTGTGTTCACTGATTGTTTTTAAAATGTTTCTGACTTTGTTTCATTTTGTAGACCCATTTTGGCTGTTTTTTTTTTGTGTGTGTGTGTGTGTGTATATACACACACAAACAAATATATATATATATAGCTTTTCTTTATCTTAGCATATTTTTTTCTTTTAATCCAGGAGCATCTCAAGGTGTATGTAGAGAAAATGTTCAAAGCAATCACTCGTTCTGGTTTTGTTTGTCCTCAAGTCATGTGTGAAGTTTTCTACACTCTTAGAGAAGCTGCGAGAAAACACTTCCCTGGTTTGTACCATTTTTCTCTTTCTTTCATTGGATGATGAAGAAACTAATTGGCAATTGGGTGGTTAAATTAAAAAAAAATTTAATATTTTCTATGATAATGCCTTAAGATTACAGAAAATCATCTTGATCATGGATATGTAACTTGATTCAATTGGAGTAACCCTTCACTCTTGCCATTGACTTCATTGGCCAAGGTGGGGTAAATACAGAAAATAATCAACAATAATCACATTTTTGCTTAAATGATTTTTGTATTAAAAAGATTAATTTTTCTTAATCCTTTTTAAAAAGATTTAGCTTTCTTAATCCTTTTTAAAAAGATTTAGCTTTCTTAATCCTTTTTTAAAAAGATTTAGCTTTCTTAATCCTTTTAAAAGATTTAGCTTTCTTAATCCTTTTAAAAAGATTTAGCTTTCTTAATCCTTTTAAAAAGATTTAGCTTTCTTAATCCTTTTTAAAAAGATTTAGCTTTCTTAATCCTTTTTAAAAAGATTTAGCTTTCTTAATCCTTTTTAAAAAGATTTAGCTTTCTTAATCCTTTTTAAAAAGATTTAGCTTTCTTAATCCTTTTTAAAAAGATTTAGCTTTCTTAATCCTTTTTAAAAGATTTAGCTTTTCTTAATCCTTTTTAAAAGATTTAGCTTTCTTAATCCTTTTAAAAAGATTTAGCTTTTTAATCCTTTTTAAAAAGATTTAGCTTTCTTAATCCTTTTTAAAAAGATTTAGCTTTCTTAATCCTTTTTAAAAAGATTTAGCTTTCTTAATCCTTTTTAAAAAGATTTAGCTTTCTTAATCCTTTTTAAAAAGATTTAGCTTTCTTAATCCTTTTTAAAAAGATTTAGCTTTCTTAATCCTTTTTAAAAAGATTTAGCTTTCTTGATTTTTCAGATAACAGAGAAGTTAGATACCAAGTAGTCAGTGGATTTGTCTTCCTTCGATTTTTTGCACCTGCAATTTTGGGGCCCAAACTCTTTGATCTGCGGACCAGCACTCAGGTAAGTAGCCTTAAATTTAAATGTTTTTCAATTGATGACATTTGAAGATATGATTTTGTTTTGCACATAACTTGAATATGTGATATATACATATTCTGAAATGTGACATTTCAGTGCATCTTTCTGTACAGTTGTGGTTTGTGAATTTTAAATATTTTTATGTTAAAAGTGAAAATAGAGGAAAATGCGTAATATATATGTAAATATTATCTTTGTAATTCACTTAAAAAAGCCCTGTGAACTTTTCCAACCCAGTAGAAAGCAGTATGCAATTTGTTTTAATTTTATTTTTAACTCATTTATTTGTGAGTGAAAATGTTTCACTTTGCTGATTTGAATTTTATTGATTTTAATTGACTGCAAGAAGAATTCTTTATTATTGATTTTTCAGGATGCCATAACAAATCGTGCTTTAACTCTTATCTCCAAAGCTATCCAGGGACTAGGAAATCTTGTCAGCTCTAGAACTGTAAGTAAAATTATCTGTGATATGAATTAGAATCTTCTGGATATATTAAGGTACATGCAAAAATCATTTTCTGTCAATCTCTGACCTTTTGCCAAATTGTGTATTTCATCAAAAGAACAATTCCAGTTTTGATTCAATGAATTCTTTCTGAAGTTTATGAACATCTACAGCTTTTTTTCTGATTGTTCAATAGACATGGTGTCTGAAAATGACAAGACTTGATAATATGCAGAATTTCTCACCCTAGCTCCATGATTTTTTGTTGCATTTTCAAAATAAAAAATGGATGTTGCCATACAAGAAATTCACCATTAAGAATTGATTAACTATTGTAAGAAAACACAGTGCATAGTTGTCAGCAAAAGAGATAATCTAGTGTATACATTATGTAATAGGGACATAAAAATTGAGCATGTGCAGAAATGTAACTTTCTCTTGCTGCACTAATCTGTAATGTAGTAATAGACAGCAAAAAGTTAACAAAAAATCTGAAGAGGCAATTGAAATAGTGAAAGATTTCTTCCACAAACTAAGTAGAGAATTACGTGAGAAGAAAATGTCCTTAGAAATAAAAAGAAAAAAAATAGTGTTGGACTGCTATGTAATATTTAATCTTTATGGCAGTGAATGCTGGACAGAGAAATAAGAGACTTGAAGCAAGAGAGATTCGGTTCCACCAATGAAAACTGAGAATACCATGGACAGACCATATGAATAACGAGGAAGTTAACAAAAATAGGAACTCCAAGGAAACAGATACTAACAATCAGTTGAAATTTAGGACATGTAAAGATGAAAAAAGGGTCTGGATAATTTAACATGTGAGTGTTAAATTATCCAGGCCCTTTTTCTTTATTATTGAAGGCAAGAGAAACAAGAAAAAAAACCTACTTAGGGAATGAATAGCAGGACAAAGAAGAGTGTAAAGGGTTAAATTAAAAAGTTACTTTGAGAAGTTGTGGAGAGCCTTGATTGCTCATGTCGTGGAAAGGAATAAACAGCCGACCTTGTATCACATGTTGCCCTGGTGGGAGGGAGACTAAATATAGTCATGAAAAGGAAGATACTTTAATAAATCTGGAATAGGTAGCTTAAGAATTTTGAACTCCTGCAAGATAATGTTTATAAGATTTTGAATTATATTTGGTAAATGTCTACACACAGTAAAAAAAAAAATGTATATTTACTCAGTTTAGGGAGCTATTTCAAAGTCATTTGTTACTCATTAGAATATAAAAGATGGTTGTAACATCAATGAAAAACCCTGCAAATTTAAATGATGTTTAGGTCAAGGTTTTTCAAACATTTCAGTGTTGTGGAGTCCTTCGGCAGATATATATTTAGTTTTATTTTTTTTTAACGGAGCTCTAACAATTTAATATTTAAAAATATAAGAAAAAAAAAAAAAGAAACTGATGTGCTGTCTCTCTTCAGGGCATAGACAGTCATGGCTTCCCACAAACCCTTATTCTGGTAGCTCTTAGCAGCATTTATCTCCCATTCAGCCATCCATTCACACAAGCTTTTGCCTTTGATATATCCTGTGAGTGTCAAATTCTCTAAGCCCTCTTTCATCATTATGTGCTCAAAAAATTTCAACTGTCTAATTAAAGTGTTCTAGTTGTTTCCATTTTTCTTAAAACTTCCATGCTCTATCTATGTTATTCTCAGCATCCTTTTGTAGAACCACATCTCTGTTGCTTCAAGGCTTCTGTTTATCTATGAGGAAATTGTTCAGTATTCACTGCCATATAGGAGGATTTATATTACATAGCAATTCTGCACTCTTTTCTTTGTTAATAATTTGTTTAACTTTTGGAAGGTGTCTTTTGCTTTTCCAATGTGGCTTTGAATTTTTGTCTCACTTCCCATTGTCTATTATAACACTTTCCATATAATTAAATTTATGTATTTGCTTAATTTTAACATCTAAATTTGTAACTTGTATCTTTGATTGTTTCTCTTGTTAACAACCATATATTCAGTCCTGGTTAGACCTTTCTTATTGTTTTCCTTTACCATAGTGGTAAACATTAGTATCAAATGATTTATTCATCATTTATTGAAGCTTACAGCTACAGTGCTGTTCGATAAAAGTGACTCACCTGATTTTTTTGCTAAATGTTCTCTTCTCCGATGAAACGAAAGTTGAGCTAAATTTAAAGGATAAGCGATCTAAAATCCGAAGAAGAAGCTTTGAAAGCTCTTTGAAGTTAGCAGTAATTACTGTCAAGAATCTGTTCAGTATAATGTTCTGGGGATGCTTTTCTTTTCATGGAACTGGTTTCTTGAAACCTATTGAAAAGACCCTCAGGAGTGAGCAGAACAAGAGAATTTTAGAGTCTTGTCTGCTCCCTTCTGCTGAAAGCGTGAAAATCAACCCCACCAAGCTCATTTTTATGCAGAATAATGTTCCCTGTCACAAATCAAAATTGATGAAGGAATACTTTGATGAGAAGCAGGTGAGTGTTATGACATGACATGGCCACCCCAATCTCCTGACCTCAACCCCAAAGAAAACTTATGGAGCATTATAAAGTACAGGCTCTCAAGAAAGCAGTTGAGCAACATGCTGATTGGTCAGAAAAGGTTTTTGGAATTTTGGAATTCAGGTCTGTTTTTTTTTTTTTTATCATATGAGTTGTGGATGTTGAAGTGAGCACTTCAGTTTAAGTTAAAGAATTGGAGTTCTGACAGGGTACAATAATGGAAATGCATTATTTAAAGTCACTGGGGAGATAAAAGAAAAAAAAAAGTTTTATATTCAATTATGTTTTTCTTTGTTTTCTTTGACAGCATTCATTTGGATTGAAGGAAGATTATATGGTACCCCTGTTCCAGTCTTTATCTGATGATCAGCATGTCGATCAAGTCAAGAAGGTGAGACATCTTGTTTACTTATGCTTAGTAAATGAAGGACAAAGTGAAGAAATTGTGTAAAATGCATTTTTTTTTCTTCTAAAAAGACTTCATTGGACTAAAGTAATGTTTTTATTGATGGGATTATATATGTGTAAGTAGAGAGATATAATTGTAAATGTCTGTTATAATTATGCAGTAAGGGGAAGCACTGAAAATGTGAGAAGGCTAAATTTAAAAATTTTCAAGTTTTAAAATTTTTAATTCTAAAAACTTTTGGCATCTGATGACTCTGTATGAACAGCCTAACTGACCTCATTGAATTTCCCTATGCTTTTGATTTTATCGCTGTTGTTTTTAAATATCCCACATTGTGACAAGATCTGACAAGAAAGGTAAAAATGTAAGAAACTGCATGCATATTTACTATGAATGATTTTGCAATCCATGCACTTTCTATGCATTTTGCCTTAAATTGCTTATGTTTACTGAAAGGGTATGTAATTGTTATCTACCCTGCTCATTTTCATAATCTTTGCTTTTTAACACCTTCTCTTTGTCATATCACACCTCATTCATCATAACAATTTTAACAGTAACCCCCTACTTTGAGTGGATCTTGAACCTTGTATACAGTGTAACCTGGATATGAGAAACCTGGATATAAGAGAGATTTTTTTCTGGTCCCAAATTAGAGCCCATACTTACCTAAACAAAATAGACCAAACCCGGATATAAGAGAGATTTTATCTGGTCCCAAATTAGAGCCCATACTTACCTAAACAAAATAGACCAAACCCGGATATAAGAGAAACCCGGATATAAGAGAGATTTTTTTCTGGTCCCAAATTAGAGCCCATACTTACCTAAACAAAATAGACCAAACCCGGATATAAGAGAAACCCGGATATAAGAGAGATTTTATCTGGTCCCAAATTAGAGCCCATACTTACCTAAACAAAATAGACCAAACCCGGATATAAGAGAAACCCGGATATAAGAGACTTCTTCTCCGGTCCTGACAACTCTCTTATATCCGGGTTACACTGTATATGGATTGAAAATTTAAATGCATTTTCTTTATGCTTCTTGTTTACAAATTTATTAATTATTAAAAACTCATTTCAGGAAATCTTTTCATTACTCTTTGACTTTGCTGAAATATATTAAGGAAAAAAGCCCATTCTCAACCAGATTTCTATACTAGTTCCCTAAGGTCTGCTGTAATGCAATCCATTGCTAAAGATACTGGAATAAATGGTCAGTTTCTTGTACCACTCTAGGAAGTACCTAACTCCTCCTGCCCTGTTCTATATTTACAAGAGTCAGATCAGACCAAAAATGGATTCCTAATGCCATATCTAGCCTCTAGCTGCTCAGTCCTTACTTTCCAGTTTTGATAGAGTTTAAAATCACTTATGCAGTTGTGTAGGTGATTAATTATTTTCCACTCTACAACCCCTTTTCTTACAGATGAAACATTGCAAGCCTCTTGCTACTCTGTCACTGTTTTTATGGCAAATTTTATGAGGAGTTACATTCCTTAGTTCTACCTGTTCAATGGCCAAATTTTTTAGTAACTCAAACTTAGCTAAGTTTGGTACAAGGACATATGGTGCATTAAGACAAATATATTTTTAAAAACTTTTTTTTAATCATTTCACCTCAAACAAGAGGTGTCACTAAGTATGAAAGAATTTGGGAAAAACATTAGACAGAAAGGCCAATAAAAGAACAGGTATTAAGAAGACAGAAGGTAGTGATTGACATTTAAATAGAAAATAAGAAGCTGGAAGAGAGTTCTACAAGCAATAAGTATGAGAGAAGAAATTGTTAGCATAGAACATGTATCTAGCAATTTCAGCTGTAAAATGATGTGACCTAGATGACAATCTAGTACTGAACTTAAATTTGTAAAGTTGAGGTACCAAAGAGGAAAGCTCATCAAAACAATTACCATGAAACTATTTATATAAAAGCACAGGCAATCTATGTTGCAAATCAAATTTATCATAAATAGTTCATAAGAAAAGTGTTTTAATTAGATATTATCTGAAAAGTGATATTTATTTAAAATATTTTCAATGAAATAGCATTATCATTTTTTTTTTTTTTTTAACTAGGTTTGATTATATTTGATTAACTGCAATTGGCTGGTCTTCATGGCCTGATTGTTTCTTGAGAAAGGGATATGAGCTTGAATCTTGCTGACAAATGATGATTGCCTGAGAATCAACTGAAATTAAGATGAAAGAAATACTAGTAGAATAATTAGTAATTGATAATTCTTCATCTAAGAAATTAAAAATGCTACAACTATTATTATTAGTATATGTAAGTAAAGCTGAAGATATACCAGGCAGTCAGGGAAGATAAATAATGACTATTTGGTTAGACTTGAAATGAATATCAGCTGTGAGGAAAATGGAATAAAATTAAAAAAATAATAATAATAAAGAAAAAGAAAAAAGAAATTCATTTTCCTATGATACTAGGATTAAAGGAACCAGAAAAGGTTTTTGGTCTTCTCTGCAATTTTATGACCCATCTTCGAGAAAGAACAGAACTTTTCTCTTTCCATTTTCCGATGCATATAGCATTCAGATGTGTTTCATGGCTACACTCATGGATTAAGTACTTTGGTTGTTCCAACTCTGTGCAAAGCTGACTTGAGCTCAGCTATTTTAACCATTCTTATATTTAACTTACTCCTGGACCAAAAAAAAAAAAATGAAAATGGAGGTTTGAGTTTCACTATAGTCTTATTCTTTATTTTTGTATTTGTGTTGCTTGCTAAAAGTCATAGAATAGTGTTCAGGGGTTATAATAAAAAGCAACTGAAATTAAGATGAAAATTTAATAATTAATAATTGGTAGTTCCATTTAAAAATAAATAAAAACATTATTTCTACTAATGTATGTAAACTAAATTGTCTTTTATAAACAAAAAAAAATGTTTCAAAATATATTCTTAAAACTGCTTTTGGACTTTAAATTAAAGGTTTTCTTTGCTGTTTTATTAACTACTAAGTGTTTTTTGTTTTTCCAGTTCCTTGATGTCATTTCTTCTGGTTCCAGAGTGTCTGTGCAAGACATTGAAGCTCCAACTATTCTGAAAGAAGGGTAAGAGTGCTAGAATATATAATACCTCTGATAGAAGTTTATTTATGCCAAAACCTTTCTGAAGAGGATTTTTTTTTAAATCTATGCATTTTTCCTTATATTTTGGGAAGTTTAGTTAAGTTCCTGCATTAAGTTCCATTTAATGCCAAAATCAAATTATTTTATATACATAATTTAATACTTTCATGGTAAAGATATGTTTTTATAGATATATAGTTTGTACATCATAAAATGTATGGTTAGTATTTTTTAAAAATGTATTACTGGTAATTTCACTACAAAAATGTACTGTTGGTAATTTTTTTATGAAAATTTATTTTTATACTCTTTTAGTGTTGCACTGATTGTCATTTTGCTATAAAAATGACCTGGTTTATTTGTTTGGCGGGTGTCACTATTTGACCATAGTTAGGACCCTAACAGGTGCTACCACCCCAGGTCAGTGTAGACCTGGGAACAACAGCAGTTAAGAGATTGTTGCACACTCCTTAAAAAAATCATATCTCCTTATCAGAGGCTTTGCTGCTGGATGTAGTTTATTGACATACCCAGTACGATCTGCTACAGGGATTAGCAAGCTGCCATAGCACACAATGTTGGAAACAAATCGCCAAACACTATATAGAATCTTAATGTCAATTATCATGACTTTATGCATGACATATCTTCTGATAAGTAATGAGATGAGGCTTATGGTCATATCTTATAGAAGCACTGGTTCTTATATGATCTCTGAATTTAAGCAACATTGAGCCTGGTCATTACCAAGATGGATCATCACTTGGAAATACCAAGTGCTGTAAGCTTGGATGCACAGATGGTGTAATGAATAACGGCTCAGAATTGGAAATCAGAGAACCGAGTTCTAATTCCAGTCGGTTTTGTTATATTCACTAATGCATAAATACCTTTGGGAAAGGTATGAATTTACCTCGTCTCCCCCCAACTATGGGTTAATTAGTAGGACTTGTATCAGTAAATAATTATCTCCAAAAAAATTTTTTACAATATCATAATATTTTCCGGCTTTTAAATAACCTGAAGAGGATGTAGAAATTTTTAATAGAAAAAAAATTGTTGGACTAGACTGATTTTTGTGTGAGGCTGAGCATCTAGACTAATCTTAATAGTTTGAAACCAGTGCACAAACTATTCTTCCGCTGTTATTTTTCAGGCTTAGTTTTGGGTGCTAAATAAAGATGAGTGGGGGAGCGTAATAAATGGTGGGTAGGTAGAAAAATCAAGAAAGTATGGATTGGAAAAAAAATCTAATAAATGAGTGGGTGTCAATAAATGGTGGGATTGGGAAATGATTAAAAAAACATCTTTTGAACAATAAGATGTCAAAAAATAAAACTAAATGTCCATCAATGTCTTTAAGTAAAATGCTCCAATGAAATTGAAAATATTTCTATGAAGTTTTACCATCGTTACAATATACATAAATGTTCATCAATGACCAATATTCAAATAATATATATCCCATAATGTCCCCAAAATAATATCTTAAAGGATGTTAATGAAATGGAAAATATTTCTATAATGTTCACTTCCTCATCTTGTTACCTTGCATTCTTCTCTTCCTCCACAATCATTTTCTCAATAGGCCATCATAATAAGCTCCTAGGTGGGGCTGTTGAAAAAAAAAAAAAAAAAAAATCCCAAAATTAACAAATGGGGTTTGGAATAATATTTTTTTTGTTTTGGCTAATGAACTTAAATAGTGAAATCTATTATGCAAGAGTTAACTCCCTTGAATTAAATAGTGATATTTACTATGCAAGAGTTAACTCCCTTGAATGCATTATTTTCTTTTTTGTTTTTCATCCTTTTTTTTCCTACAGAATGATGATCAAGCGTGCTCAAGGGAGGGGTATGTTTGGATTGAAAAATTTCAAGAGACGATATCTCTGCCTAACCAATCAGAGTCTTTTTTACTCTCGGGAAAAAGGTAAGCAAATCTTAATTTTCTCTATCTATCATATACTGGACTATATAGCATGTATCGTTTACTGGTAATTTTCTTAATTTTCACAGCAACATGACTCAAACCCTCAACTATACATCTCAAGTTCTAATGATTGGGAATGTAATCTTTAAGTACTTGGTGTGTTATAAGCCAGCATTTATGACACATAATATATGCTGGTTTGTTAAATATTGGGTTGGAACAAAAGTTTATAGCATTTTTCAGTAGGTAGAATTTGAACATGTGATTTCATTCTACATGTGACAGAAATATGACATATACATATTCAGGAAGGTTACATTTCAATACATCAGAAGTGGAAATTTTGAAATTTCCAGACAGGTCATTGATGACCAAATCAAGACTGATTAAAAATAATCCAGGTCATAGAACACAGGATGTCCTACAGGTATTTCACATGTGAATGTTTTAAGTCATTTGAAAATATTTGGATATGTGAATCACTATGATGGATTACATTTCCAGTTGTGATTCTCTGCTCAAATGTAGGCAAAATAATCCATTTTTGAAAAGAACAATCCCAAGCCATGAAAAATGGATTGTTTACAACAATGTGGAGTGAAAAAAGTTCTAGAGAAAATGGAATGAGCCACCATTAACCACTCCAAAAGCAGGTCTACAGGGGGGGGGCAATGTGCATTTTTTTTTCTCTTAAACCCATAAATGGGACAGAATAAACATTGATGGGTTACAAGTAAAAACCTATAATTAATACTGGATCTTGTTTATAACCTAAAATTACTATCAGTTTTGTTTTTTTTTTAAACTATGCTTAAAACAGGACTCTTTTTTATAAAATTGTGATACCAGATTTTTTTATAAACATGTAATTATCACTAAATCTTTTCAATCCTCACCCACTCCTTTTTTTATTTTTTAAAGAAATTTTTAATTAATACAGAATTTTTAATTTAATTTTTGTAATTAACACCAGATTTTCTGGTGGACATTAATGCATTAATTTTTTTTTATCTTCAGTGTTTTTTTGTTTTTTTTACAGCTTAGTGATTTTAGTATAATAATTTATATTTATTAGTAGTATAAATTTATATATATATATATATATATATAGGGAAGAGGTTAAAGTAGTTCCAATGAGAGAAAAGTGTGTATATTAAATATATTATGCTTTAAAACATAATATATTTTTTAAAAAATCCACATTACATCCAAAGATGTTTGCGTTTTCTCTCTTCTTTTAATATATATATATATATATATATATATATATATATATATATATATGCGTGTGTGTATGTATGTATATATATGTATATATGAATTGATCTGGGAATTTAACTATATTGTTGACATGGAAAGAAAAAAAAATTTTAGTATAAAGGAAATTTACATTAACCAGAAAGAGGCTTATGCAGAAGTGTCTCTCATATTTTTAAATTTGGATTTTTTAATGTAACTATAACAACAAAAATATTTCGATTTCATTTTTGCCTTGAAAAAGTCAGAAGATGAAACGTGCTGGCAAAAAGCCAAGATTTTTTTTCCAATTGTCATCTTATATATACACACACACACGTTAAAGATCAAATTTAGGGTTTTTTAATTTTATTTTACTAATTTTGATCTTTTTTTTTTTTTTTTCAGGAGATGAAATTCTCTGCCAGATTCCAATCCATAATATCTGGGCTGTTGAAAAACTCCAGGAAGAATCGTTCAAAATGAAATATGTGAGTTGGATTGATTTTTAAGCTGATTTGTTTTTTTGGGGTTTTTTTTTTCATTTTTATTTAAGTACAGTTTTTCTGCTTACACTTATTTGCTTATTGTCAAACAGAAAATAATGAATAAAAGTCGTATCTCTTCCTAACCACTCACTGAATCATGAAATGATATTTTCAAACTATATTCCTATAGTGTACATGCATTAACTGACTAAATTGGAAAATTTTATTTTTGCTGAATTACTTAACATTTTTGTAATGAGTGGAAGCTGTCTGTTAACATTTGTAAAAATTAACAGTAGTTTTTCAATAGATGCCATAATACAAATGAATGGATATAGTTTTTGGGTTATAATGTTTACCTTGTGGTCATTCCCACTCATTCAAAAGATTCTGTGAGTCAATCCTGAAGTCAAATTGGGGTGGGGTGCTGGAGTCCCTTGTGCTGTCACTCCTAAGCTAACACTGGCACTAAGCTGTACTGAGCCTTGTTTTTTTTTCTCAGACAACATCCATGATGTGGAAAAGGAAAACTTCCTCTAGGGGTGACTGCTTATCTTCATACAACCTTGCTCAGGCCTGTGCCTTTGAGATTGACAGATGTCTCCAAATAATGTAATTTATATAATTGTTAACTTTCAAAGAAATAAATTGATTTTTTTTTAAAGCAATGAAAAGATGCAATCATTAGTTTCCTGTCAATGTGGTTAAAGTTTATAAAAATCTTGCTTTTGGGTTTGATTTTTGTTCCAATTATACTTTTCAGATGTTTCAAGTTGTGCAGCCTGAACGAGCCTTGTACATCCAAGCCAATAATTGTGTAGAAGAAAAGGAATGGTGAGAAAAACAAGATTCAATATTTTAAAACTATTCTTATTATATTTTGTACACAATAAAGTCGATCAATAAATTTATAGCCTCATTATGGGGAAAGGGAGCACTTATTTTATACAATATCTCCTTCCTTGTCAATGCACTTAATTCAGTGGAGAATATTACATAGACTGAACATTATACAGTGGAAATTTTAGATAGGCAGACAATTATAAACTGAATTTATATGGACTTATTTATCCAACCTTGTATGTTGACTAAATAGAATTTATTCTTTCTTTTCTTCAATCAATTTATTGTTTTTGACTGTCTTTACAAATCTCTTCTTGTTTAATGATTTTGAGCATGTAATTGTATCTTTGGTTGTAAAAATGGTGATTAATAATAGAAAGTTTGGCAATCTTGGACCTTCATGTCTGCAAAAAAACGCAGTGTCAAAAAGATTATTTTTTTCCCTTGACACCACTATTATTTTAACTACCTTCACTCCTCAGCAGTGTTTATTATGTTTGTTGTCAATTCTCAAGTCTTTAAGTTTTATTATAATTCTAATCATCACTTTTTAAAACAAACATTGGCTGAGGAGTGAAGGTAATTAAAATAAATAGCAATGTCAAATGAAAAACTTTCTGTTTTTTTGTGGGCATGAAGTTTGAAATTTGCAGAAAGTTTTATAACTAACGAAATATCTGGTGCATCAATATAAAACTAATTTTTTTTTTTTTTTTTTTTTTTTTTTAACATTAACAAAGATGAGTAATTGAATGACAAGACAGGAAAAAAACCTCCTGTAACTCATTTTGCCCCTTGAAAGAATTTATTCAGGCTAACAGTCTAGCAGGACATCTCTGAATTTAAAATTTCCCAAGAACAATCATGATTATTCAAAATGTACACATATTAAAAGGAAGTTGTGAAAAGCCAGGACTGCCTACATACTGAAGAGGTATATTTAAAAAAAAATAAAAAAAATATCAATCTATAAAATGGACTTTTGTGTGTGTTTTAAAAAAGAAGTATAACAGTGCTTCTAATGTGCTGGTATTATGGACAGGTGGTATTGTATTAAGAAACAGAAAAACTTCATTAGAAAAAAGTACTGAGCTGTTATGTAATATTTATCCTTCTATATGGCAGTAAATGCTGCACAATCTCCTCAAACATGAAGAAGAGACTCGAAGCAAAAGAAATATGGTTCTACAGAAGGATGCTGAGGATACCATGGACTGAATATGTGAGCAACAACAAAGTTTTAGAGGAAATGCAAACAAAAAGGAAACTTAATATCAATCAGAGACATTTGAAATTTCTAGGGCACATAATGAGGAAAGAGGGCTTGGAAAATCTGATTCTCTGAAGGCAAGAGGGACAAAGGAAAAACAACACAACATATTTTGTAAGCTTGTGTAAATGGATGGTAGGACAAGGTTTAGTGTAATTAATAAAAAATTATGAACTATGAAGGGCAGGAAATTGTGGAGAGCCATGATTGCCTACATCCTGAATGGAAATAGGCACACACAAATAAGGAGGTTGCATGTTGAAAACTCAAGTTATACAATTAGGTGGAGACTTCAAGTGAGAAATTCCGAAAATCCATGTCAACATGGGTTTATATACAGTGTGTGATGGATAAATTGTCTGAATTACACAAAAACGAAAATAACACTGACATCTCATTTTAACAGATATATTTACCAAAATTATGCAAAAATATCTTCAAATACTAAAGAGTGAATTTATTCAATAAAATTGCCATTGGCTTCAACCACAGCCTCAAGACGATTTCAGAATCTCTTGCATCTCTTCTGGATAGTCACTTTATGCTGCCATAATACTTGCCTTCACTTTTTTTTGTCTCCCGCTCAACTGTGCCCCACACATAATAATCAAGGGGGTTGCAGTCTGGGGAGTTAGGTGGCCAGATGTAAAGGGGTGATGTGGTTGCAGAAATTGACTGACTGCCATGACTGGGTTCCCTTGCTTGTGTGGCATAGTAGAGAGTCTTATTGCCAGACATAGGGTCTTCCAGCAGCCACCCTCTTGACCCAAGGCATCACCACCTCCTCAAGCATACTGTTTCCAAATTTCTGACGGAGTGAATTGCGTCATAGTGCTCTTATTCTCATAGGTGGTGCCCAACTGACCCTACTATAGGGTCAGTTGGCAGTTGACAAAATCAAAAACAAATGATACGCTTGTGTGAAATTAAAAATATAAAATGGTGCCAATTTACCCATCACACCCCCTGTATGTCAGCAAATACATTGTTCATTTTAAAGAGTAATTGGGCACATGGCTAAGTGGTTAAAATGTTTGCTTTCCAACCATGACTCTGATTCAAATTTTCTCATCGTCGATTTGTCAGAAAGGTGTCTTCTTAGTGTTGTTGGCCTGGGGATGTGATCCCAATGTGTGGCACATTTAGAAAGTGCCTGAAGACCATGCCACAGGTTGACCCAAGCTTTGTGAGTGAAATTGGGTAGACGGGAACTGTTTGGGAGCCGTTGATGGTTGTGCTAGCACAAAGTCACAAGTCATCATGACTGAGGGTTTGAGCGTGTTGGCTTTGTTCAGACTGTTGATCATGCCAGATAATTACACTTCCTCCTAGAAACTGTAACTAAAGGTCAGCTCAGCATAGTTGCAGTATAACCTACAGATGAGCTCTGTGTTTTTTGAACAAACACAAATATGCCTGAGAGGACGTCTGCAACAGGGATTGGCTAGTTGCCCTAGTAGACAGGCATACTCAGATATGAACAACCATCCATTATATTATATATAAAGAGTAAAATATAATTGGTAAGTTTATTTATTAGAAATAAAAGAAGAAATCATAAAAATAAGATTCTATGTGCTTTTTTTCTTTTTCTTTCTCTCCATTTATTGAGGTATTCCTTATTCTGTGTATTTTCATTTTTTATAATAACTTTTTATAATTTTCCTTTTTATGTTATTCTTATCTTAGGCTGGAATTATTAAAGCAAGTATGCAATTCAAACAAAAATAGGTTAAAAAAATATCACCCAGCTGCCTATATTGGAAGTCACTGGCAATGGTAAGTGTCCTTTCCTTTTCGTTTTTCCCAATTCTTTGTGGAAACTTTTGTCTCCTCTAAGATTATATTTTTTTAGTTTCTGTTGAACAAAAATATACAGAAAGAAATGATGCCTGGTTTAGTGTTCCTTTTAATTATATCAGATTTTTATAATTTTATAAATTCTGATAAATAAGTTTACCAAGTACAACTGTAGTTACTTTAAGTGATGTACAATAAATAAATGGTTGATTGATTTTTTATAGCTTATCAACTCATTGCAGGTTATTTAAAGCAAGAAAATATTTTTAGGTTTTTTTGTTTTTTTTTTGATAATAATGATTTAGTAATAAAAGTTTTACTAATTAACCCATAGCTAGGGAGAGAAGAGATCAATTCATACCTTTCCAAAGGGTATTTGCATGTAAGTGAACATAACAAACCCAATGGAAATTGGAACATGGCTCTCCGATTAACAATTCCAGGCCATTATCCATTACACCACTTGAAGATTACAGCACCTGGTATTCCCAAGTTTCTGTTGAAGACTGGAGAAATTGTATGTACTTGGGTACAAATTATCACATAAAAGTTTAGAGAATTTAACTATTAAAAAAAAAAAAAAAGTCACTTTTCCAAACACCTTGTTTCCAATGTCTTTGTAGTAGTCCTTTGCTTTCTGTTTGCTCATTGGCCCATAAAATGTATTGCCCAATAATGGTAGAAGCAAAAGTTCATATTACATGCTGTTTAATTCTCTTAGCTTTTAGGTAGCCACATATATTCTCCTGTAAAAATTCACTAAATCAATTTCTTGTTTTGTAAATGAATGAGAAAAAGTTTTATTTTTTTTTTGAGTAGACATTTCATAAATTAGTTTGGCCATAATTTTAAGGGCATCCTCTTGTGAATTTAATTTTTTTTTTGTTTACATTTCCTTTCTATTTTTAGTTGCAAGAATACTGATTGCAATGCAGAAGGCTGCAAACCAGTGTCTGGAGGTATTCAAGTTGCTGAGATTCAAGTAGATAAGATAGACGCTGACCGTGAGGTTGAAAAAATTCATTCCTTATACCTAACCTATATGGATAAACTTGAAACTATGCAAGGTAGACATTTTATTTTTCTCTTTATTTTTTTGTCTGTATTACGTTTTCTGTACTGGTAAAACATTTAGCATTCATTGCTTAGATAAGTCCCACCATTAACACATCTAATTTGAATGACAAAATGTGCAATCATTTATAACCATTTCCCACTCAAGTTTTTATTAATAATTGAATTCTTATTAGGTTGTGTCAACTTTACCAGATGTCAAAATTAACATATAAATATAATATCTAGATATTTATAGTTTTTCAGTTTCAATTATCAAAAGAAACTCCATACATTTATAAATAAGATTAATCATTTTAGGATTTCAGCTAAAGATATCTTTTAGCTTTTCTTTTTTTTTTTTTTCCTTTTTCTTTTTTTTTCCTTTTTTTTCTTCCTTTTTTCTTTTTTTTCTTCCTTTTTTTCTTTTTTTTTTTTTTTTTTTCTTTTTTTCTTCCTTTTTTTCTTCCTTTTTTTCTTCCTTTTTTTCTTCCTTTTTTTCTTCCTTTTTTTCTTCCTTTTTTTCTTCCTTTTTTTCTTTTTTTTCTTCTTTTTTTCTTTTTTTTCTTCCTTTTTTTTCCTTTTTTTCCCTTTTTTCTTTTTTTCTTTTTTTCTCCTCTGTTTTCTTTATTTTCCTCTTTTTTTCTTTTTTTTCTTTTTTTTTTCCTTTTTTTTTCTTTTTTTTCCTCTTTTTTCTTTTTGATTGTTTTCATGTTTGTTTTAGTCGGTTTGGTGGATGATTAGTAGGCAATGAAATCGGCACCCATTGGAGATACACACATAAATAACCTCAGTTGGCTCACCCGAAGATACTGCTTAACAGTACTCATCATCATGTCATTGAGAGGCCCTACTGGAGACTATTGCATGTTCCAGAAACCATTCATAAAATGGCAGTACAATAGAGCTGATATTACACACCTGCTGATAGGATATCCTCTTTCAAAGTTACTTGAAGATCAGGTGGATAATGCCAAAACCCAGAAAACACTTACCTCCAGCACCCTTAATGAGGAAACAAATAACCCAGGAAAGATCCAGATGTGATACTCTTGTTCACCTAGCAGTCAGGGCAACAGATCTCCTTCTTGGGTTAGAAACATTGTACGAGACAGAGACCTAGGGTACCAAGGCAAGTTTGCTTATGTTATAGACAAGCGTATGGTTGCAAGAAAGAAATACGACAACAGTAGAAATAGATTTACGTGGTTTATTTCAAAAGGAACGTAAGGGTTTAGGACAGCTACCTTGGTGTGGTAAAGTTCATAAGCCGGCTTTCAGATCTAGGTCGATCTCTCATAGTAGTTCACACATGTTGATGGTGGTTGGTGCTCTCCTGCTGACAGCTGCTGAACGTGACCGGTCTCCTTTGTGGCCACCTGTCGACTGACTGCTGAACTTCCCTGTGACCCCTTTTATAGCGTTTTTTATGGCTTAACAGGCTCGAGAAACGAAGCGAGTATAATTAGGAGGGAAGCATTTTTATTGGATGAAAAATAGAGCACTTTAAATATTATTTTATTTTTCGACCGGAACACATGTGTCGGATCCTGGTGACTGTTACATGGTGGTGGCAGAGGGATTGTATTAGAAAGATGTGTTGGGCGTGGAGCCAGTCGTCGGATATGTGCACGGTGAATCCAGATTGTATCACCATCATTGTTTTGCACCTGACACATCATATTGTTCGTTTTTATAATTGTGTAATTTCCTATCCAGGGCAGATGAGAGGATTGGGCAATAGTTGAGTGTGGCCGATGAAGTAAAACCTTGTCGCCTACTTGTATTGGGTCCTTGTATGTGAGGCAATTTAAGTTAGTCTCAAGTTTGTGGTCGGCTTCATCGTTGGCCAGGGTGACGTGGTGGTGAACCTGCTTTAGCAGGGCATTAATTGCATTCCATATGCTCCAGGATCGCCGCCAGGATTTCTTTTCTGTGTAGTGTAGGTAGGCCGATGTTGGGGTGACGGCCGGTAATGGCATAGTCTTGGGGAGACAGCGGTGGCGCTGTTGGTCGTGGCATTCATGGACAAAACGACAGATTCTAGAACGTATGTCCATTCACAGTTCCTGTCTTCGCATAACATATAAAGTGCGTTCTTCATCGTGCAATGTTGTTGATATTTCCTGAGCTTTGCGGGCGCCAAGGACAGTGAAGTTCTTGCGTGATTGACATCTGGTTACAGAATTGTCGATAGACTTCTCCAGTGAAGTGTGTGCCTTGATCAGAGGATACTATGCGTGGAATCTCTCTGTGTCGAAGGAAGAAATGGTACAATCCGCAAGCGGCGTCGATAGCACGGTCTCTCGCGCATGGTATGGCTGTAAAATGTCAGCTGAAGCTATCCTTGATGGTTAGGATGTAACGTTTTCCCTTTGAGTTGGGCATCGTGACAAAGTCTATAACGACGAGATCGAATGGTCTCTTTCCTCGTTTGCAGTGGCCAATGGGCCAGTGGGTACGTCTACCGTAGTTTCCCTTGCACTTAGCACACGTGTCACAAGAATCAACATAGGCCTTGATGTTGCGGTTTTTGAATTCCCACCAGTAGCTGGAAAGGAGTTCTCGCATACGGGTAACACCTGAGTGGTTGTTGCCCTCGTGTGCCTGGTAGAAGTATCTGGGTCGTAGTTTGTATGGTACAACCAATCTCGGAGAGTGTTTACAGTCTCTTATCATCAAAATGGAGGTGCCTGGTTCTAGAAAAAATTGGTGAAAATGTTTTTTGAAAAGCGTAGCTCGGTGGTTGTCAGGATCGATATGAGGTTCGCTTGGGGTGGGTGCCTGGAGGGTGCTGATGATCTTTGCCAGGGCGTTGTCCTTCAGTTGTTCATATGCGATGCTGAGGTGGTTGCAGATTCTCTCAGTGTGGATGGTGGTGGTGGAGTGATAGGCGAAAAATGCGTTGGTGACGTGCTTGTGGGTGCGGGCGTTTTGTGGTGTGTGAGTTTTGGGAATGAGCTGTAAACCGTTAAACTCGCCGAGGCACCAAGATGGGATGTATACGCGGAGGTCTGAACCGCTTACCTCGAATGTCCTGCCTGCCGGTGTAGGGTTGTTCGGGGCTTTCGTTTTCTTATGTCCGCAGCCTCTGCTGAGCATGTCAGCCCATACATTTGATTCGCCTTCAGCATATTCCAAGATGAATTTATAACATGAAATTTCTTCTTGCCATCGTCGTATTTTGGCATTATTGAACTCTCGTTGGTCCAGATATGTCAGCGATCTGTGGTCAGTGAAGATGACGAAGGGCGGTTCTTGAAGAAATAATCAAATTTCAATATTGCCCACTTTATTGCGTATGCCTCTCTTTCCGTCGTAGACCAGTTCTGTTCCGTGGAGTTGAATGTATGGGAAGCGACCGCTATGATATCTTTCTTCCCGTTGTTGGCTTCTTGCATTAAGATTGCTCCACATGCGATGTCACTGGCGTTGGTGGTGAGTGTGAAAAGTTTGGAGAAATCTGGAAATGAGATGACAGGTGGTGAAGAGAGACGGTCCTTGATTTTTCTGAAGGTTCTGTCAGCATTTTGCGTCCAGACAAACGGTTTATTAACCTTGTTGAGTTTGTGTATGGGACCCATAAGTTTTGAAAACATATCTGACCTGATTTGTTCGTGAAGACGTGTCTCTAGGAATTGCCTGATCCACACTAAACGGCCGATAAGGCTTTGTAATTCCTTTTTTGATGTTGGAGGTTTCATTTTCCTGATGGCACGAACGTATTCTGGATCAGCCTTGAATCCTTCGCTGTTTACTATGCGTCCGAGGAATTTTGCCTCTGATGTGAGGAAGGAACATTTATCGGGATTCAGCTTGAGTCCGAATTTTCGGAGGGCAGTAAAAATTGTTCAAGGGAGAGTATGTACTCCCTAAATGTTCTAGCGTGGACCAGGTTGTCGCCGATATAGGAGGAAATGTTGTCACGGGATGTGACCGTGGCTAGTGCTTCTGCTATGCAACGGAGAAGATTTGTCCGCAGATGTAAGGCCAAAAGCCAGGCGCGTGTATTGATAGCATTGGTCCTTCCATGTAAATGCTGTTTTGTATCGGTCTCGCTTTGTCGATCTCAATTTGCCAATAGCCGCTCGTAGATCAAGGGTAGTAAAATATCTATTGCCTTTGCCGATTTTGTTGAACAAGTGGTCGATCCTTGGCATTGGGTAAGGGTCAAGATCGACTAAGACCTTTGTTGAGAGTTCTTTTAAAGTTAGCAACGACACGAATTGATCCATTTTTCTTATGTCTACGGCAAATACAGGGCTATTGAAGCCTTTGGGGTCGCTGCAGTTTTCAATGATACCTTCATTAGCCATACGCTTAATTTCGCATATCTCGCCTGCTTCCAAAGCCTGGGCGATCGGGTGTTGTTTCTGGCTGCAAGACTGGCCGTTGGTTGGTATGCGGATGGGTCGGATGAATGTGCCTTTGCTGCTGCTTTCTGTGCCGATAATGTCAGCGAAGCGAATGAGTAAGTTTGCAGTGGCCTCTAGTTTGTCTTGGTTCGGGTGGTTTGGTAGCGATAGTCCCGTGTTATGTTTTAGCCAGGTTAGCTTTTGATCCAGTGTCTGGATGTTGGGCTGTAGTTCCATAGTAGGCTGGTTTTGGGCGCCATATGCTGGATTGTTGGTTGACGATGACGGTGATATGATTGCGGCTGTGTGTGTTGTATATCCTGAGGAAAGTGTGCGTCTGAATTCTATAGTCGCATTTTAGTTGTCGATTAGATAGGAATCGAGCGTGTTGTGACGTAGGATATTTTGGCCGATCAGGATTGGTGTGGTTTGGGTAGTTACCAGCACGTTAACCTTTTTGAATGTGGGTGAGTCCCGGCTGCTGATGGTGATGTCGCAAGTCAGTTCACCGAGGGCGGTGGTGCTACCATTGATTCCTTTTACTACGACGTCAGAGTGGGTCATGAGTTTCTTGGCTTCTCTGGGTAACGAGATATTGGTGCGATGCAGGTGGAGCATCCAGAGTCTAGCATTGCTACGCCAGAGAAGGTGATGTCCCTGAAGTTGAAGGTGGACTGGACGAAAGGTGAATAGTGAGCGTAGTCCTTGAAAGTTGAAGGTGTGATGGCTGACGTAGGGGCATGGCGAACGAGGCATCACATCTCGTCCTGCCCGGGCGCGAAAATCCTGTTCCACATCATTTATGGCTTGTATATTATCATTAGTTATGGCGATATGGGCCTGTGCCTGAGTGCGAGGTGGGTGGCGATATACACAGTTGCGTCCATGGTGGCAGGGCGACCTCTGAGGTAGTTCTTGCACACGCTGATTCGTGGTGTGTGCTGATGGTTTCTGTGTGTGGGATGGTGGCCATGTTTGGGAGGGTTGGTGAGGCCCATCTGCTGTGGGTTTGGTTGCCTGCTGGGTCGGAGTGGCGTGTTTCTTTGGTTTGACTGCTGTGGTTTCTGTGTGAAATACACAGTGTCGTGCGAAGTTGTGTCGTTGGGTTTTACACCGCGATCAAGGTATATTTGAGCTTCGGAGGCTATGCCAATGGCTGAATAGTGGTTGTCCATTGTCTTGACGAGATGTGGGTAAAGATTTGAGTTCCAAATTTTCACCTTTTCGCTCATTAGCATAGCGCCGATGATGGAAATAAGTCCATCGACTGTTAAGTCAGTATTTTTGTCTTTTTTGTATTTGTTTTTTATGTGGACGGCTGCCTCTCGAAGGGTGTTTTCGAGTTGAC